GGTCATTGTCCAAATTAAAATGTTCATTCAGTATTTTAACCTTAGGATGTCATGATATACATGCTATGTCCACTGTGATTTGAGTTTATTTATTTTGTTAGACATAGATGGCTCCACAAGTACTAATTCACCTAGAATTCAATTTGTAGTCCTACTTGTTTCACCTTTTTGATCTTTTCCTTGATTTACAGTGTCTCTTTTCATTGCTGTTAGTATGTTAATAAAATTTTGATGATGATATCAGTAATAATAATAATTGCATCAATTTGAAAACTATCTCTCAAGATTCAAAGAATGGGGCAATCAGGTGAGGTCCTTGCTAGCTGAGCACTTGTAGAGGCATATGTGTGCAAGAAAAGTCTTTGCATACAAAGAGTTAAAGAATGAAGAAGGTTGTATGAAAAATTGTTACCATATTTACAATATTGATATCTTTATGTATTAAGTTAATACATTTCAAAGAAAATTATACAAAATGAAAATACTGTTAATCATGTACTAAAAACTATAGTTTCTGATAGACCAATATGCTGAGACAGAATATTGGAGAAAAACTAGCAGTAATAACACCTGAATTATAGTAGACTATAGAGTACTTAAGACGATATGCATTTTCATTTATTGTGCTATTCCCAGAATACTAATCATTTTGATAAACAAATTAGCAAGTATTAACTGGAATGCATTCCATATGCATGCTAGATGATTATTAGAACTGAAAGAGATAAAGAACTTCTCAGACTAGATGATAATACTTTTGCTGCTTGATGTCTTGATGGATATAATTTTTATAACCTATAATTGATACATTACTGTAATTTTTTCTTTTTCTTTTCAATATTTGTATAAAAGTCTTCATGTCCATTATTTTTTCTGCCTCCATGTCTTGTCTTTATAATGTGATGTCTACTTGATTACCTAAACATTAAGCCACTCACAACAGGATTTCCCTGTGTTATGCTGATCCATGTGCTGGGTTGTTGCATGCAGCACCCAGTAGACAAATTAGAAGCATAGGAAACATGCATTTACCCCAGTCTCTCCCCCCTAATCACTTGTTCCCTGTTGTTTCAATTAATTTTGCATGATCTTTTTTTCTCCCTTTTTCCATTCCTTATCTTCTTCATCATCCCCTTCTTCTGTCTATTTCTTAAGGTGTGAGAGTCATGCTGAAAGGATGAATGGCCTCAGTAACCCATGGGCACAGTATTCCCTTGGTTAATTGTCTAGCCCTCACCCCTTTTGGGGACCCTGAGGGATAGACCATTTCCTCTCCCCCTTTGTTTCAAACCTTTTGAGTACTCTTTCTGGCCCAACCAATTGAGATCAATTCTTTATGATTCCTCCTACGGCCCCACACTCTGACATTACCCTTCTCTTCCAACAGTGTCTCCAAAAACAGGTAGACAAAGTTTCCTTTCACAGTCATTCTGATCTTTCATGCCTTGTCACAGTTACATCTGAGTCTCAAGCTGATGCACTATCTACCCTGACTGACCTCACTGGCAAACCTACTCCTGCCCAAGCTCACTCCTCCCTTATTACTTGTATCAGAACTCTTTCTATCTCTCTGACTGATTGTCCTGTCTAGGACAAGAACTGGTCAGACTGTGAAAACCACTTGCTCACCTTGTTGATTATGATGCAGTGGCAATCCAGTACTGTACTATTCCTCAGAGACGTCATGACCATTCAATTGCTCTGCTCAGTTACGCATGTGTGCCAATTTTGGTGGCTCTATAATACATTTTATTGGAATTGTCCTGCCTACAAGCTTGAATCTGAGGTAGCAATTCTCAAATTCAAATGAGGCCTCAGTATATTCCCCAAGAACTCTCAGCATCTTTCCCAGTATCTCTTCCCTCTACTCCAAACCATCCTATCCCTACTCTCCCTCTCCCCCAGCCAAATTTTTCCAGTCTAAATCCAGATAGTCCAATCTCTACCACTTCCCCAGTGCTACCCCTCCTCCTTCTCACTCTACCTGTCGCACCAGACAATCTAAACGTTCCACTCCATCTTCTACCAGACCCTCTTCTCCACCAATGAAGAAAACCTTTGTTTCCCCCCCGGGAAACTCTGGAAGACATTCAAAAGTTCATAAACATGACTCAAGAGAATGATCCACTCCTTCATCCATCCTCTGATCCCTTAATCCCTTAATTTGCTGATATTCATCCTCCTTCTCCTCAAGTTCCCCCTACCCAAAAAACACCCCATCCTCTCCTCCTCTATGTGCATCACCATTTCCTCTTCCTTCCCCATTATCCTTACTACCCCCACTTTGATGCTCACGTAACTCCCTTATGTCCTTCTGCAGATCCCTCCCCTCCCGACATTCTTCCCAATACTTCACCTCCTACCCTTGTTCCTTTATTTCATTCTCAGGAGTCTTCTACTTCTACTTCTACCGTTACTTACTGTATTACCCTTTGATTGTTTCATAATAGCCCTTTTGCAGTTTTCTCATACAGTGTTACTCTCCCTCACTCAGATGTACTCTCCATTCAATCAGATTGCCCTATGCCTTTAACCCTTTTACAAATCCCCACTGTATTCTATTTGCTCTATTCCCTTTTCACTTTGACATCTAGCACATCCTGATCATTAACATATTTCCACCCTCTTCACCACAATTCTTTACCATGGTGCTATATGACATTTATTTCTTCTTACCTTCAACCATTACTCCTAGTCTCTATGCTCGTGGCTACAGAATGAGTGCTTTCTTAGGCAGTGAACTCTGTACAGCTTGATCTGTGACACCTAACCCCTTCATCACAGTATTGTAATCGGACAACCTTGGGGTAGTCATCTCAGACCCATGGCAGATTGTCTAGCTGACTGTCTTGGAATTGTGGACTGGCTAAAGCAGCATCATGGGCTTCTTCTTGTGTCACTAGAGATACAATGAAAATAAACAACTAAGCCCTCTTTACATAGTACTGTATAGGGTACAGTTCACTTCAATGAGATCTGCAAAGATATTCTTTGCTTAGGTAAAATTTTAACATTTCTCATCCTTGAGCTAAAGTATTATGTTAACATGTACTTGACACCCGTTCTGAGACCAATATATCTGATGTTGACTATGGGTTGACATCTGCAGTGGGTTAATTCTTGATATGTGAATGTGCTATTGTTTATGAATTTGCTTACCTGTCAAAAAGTAATGAGATCATGTGAGGATTATTATTATTATTATTATTTTTTTTTTAAAAAGATTATTCCACCTTATTTATCACAATAAATTATATTTATCATGATGCTCCTGCAGATATATATGAGTAAAATTATTGCAGATGATTTGGTAGCAGTGACCATCATGGGAGATGCAGCAATTTTGCAGTTTGCTCCCTTTAGTTCAGCCGTTGATGCAGGATTCTGGCACAAGTTTACTCAATTAAAGGTAAGTTGGCAAATCGTGTAGAACAGGGCTACTCAATTGGCAGCCGAAATCTGGACCTTCTGAGTGTTGTAGTGGGACCCCAGGCACAATTTGAAAAATCTGCTTTTTATTTTCTGAGAGGATAAGATCAATTCCTGTCATGTTTCAAAAGAATAGTTTTTATTACTAAAGTAGCAATACATTTAACAGTCAAAATATAATTTTTTCCATTTGAAAATTGTCCATTTCAATTGCTTTTGAGAGAAAAGTATCCAAGTCTTCTTATATTTTAGTTACAAAATTGAATATATTTATATTTACTAGTCAGCTCTATATTTTGTATAAATAAGTCAAAGAGTGAATATGAAATGAACAAAAATCATATGGGAACACTATGGAGATTGGTGGTTTTATTTTTCATGATTACATATAAAATATTTTTCCAGACCTCTGCATATGAACTTGTCTGACTGGACCTTTGCTCATAAAAGTTGAGTAGCCCTGATGTACAAGTTTAGATTGGGAAGAGGGAAAAGGGGGGGGAGAAAGAGAGGGGGGAGTATAGTGGAGTGGGAGGGGGCAGGAGGAGAGGGGGAGGGGAGAGAGAGAAAGAGAAAGATAGTCTGAGAATGGTTAGATGCCTCCAAGGTCATGCCCTCTAACTGATGGTAGAGTGCCTGCAACATCATGTTGACTAAGGACATGACCTTCAACCTTCTCCTGGACCCATACAAACACTTCATAACAAGTCATGTCCAGCTTGGACGCCATCTCCTGGGGGCCACCACTCCAGACCTCCCTGATGGATCTACCTCTGCCTGGCATGACTCTGCACGAGCTGGACACCTTCATCTTCAATCTCCACCTCAAGCTCCCTTTATAAGCAATAAACTTCCAAACCAGAGTGCGCATCTCCCAGAACCACCAACATGGGGGGTATACCATAACAAAGCCTTCACAAACTGGTGGCAATAGTGTGATCCCAACAAGAAGCACCTCACAGAATGATGGCAGTGGTGGGACTCCAACAAAAACCCCTCACAGACTGGTGCCAGTAATGGACAACAAGAAACATCTTAGAGAGAGGGAAAGAGAGATACAGACAGACAGAAGAAGGAAAGGAAGAAAGATCGAGAGAGACACAGACAACACAAAAACAACATTTAAAAGCAATATATGGCAGAAGAAGAAAAGCAGTAAGTGTGGAGTGTCCAGCAGCATGTGATGCACCCATGCTTTCACTACCACCTCCTCCTCCTTCTCCTCCTCCTCCTTCCCTCGTCCCCTGTCCTTCCATGGAATATATTGATGATTATTTTGGTATGTAATCTCTTTATGTTCATCAGTAAGATCTACAAAATTCTTAAAAATTGGGAAAGAAATAAGATAAATAAACTGATGTCACATCTTTGAAAAGCTTTATCTCTGTTCAATAAATTTTGTCAGTGAATATTTGCAAAAAATTGAAAATCAAACAGATTTACTTAGGACTTACAGGGTATATATTTTACAATAGGATGCTGGTGATAGCTTGCAAATGTCTTTAAAAAAAAGGAGGAGTTGAAAGTAAATGTGTAAATAGTAACTGTAAACTTCAATCATACATTCAATGATCTTCAATGACCTTTGAAGATTTTTACAAAAGGCGATATATGTGCATCTAAAGAAATCAAATGACTTCAGAGCCAAAAAAGAAAAGTAAAACGTTAAGTATTAAGGCTGCTATCCATTTTATGCAGTCATTTGGTGTAATGACATCATAACATCATGGCATCACATTGTATTTCATTATTGTGCAGACACATTATAGGCACCACAAATGCCCTATTGATGTGGAAAGTTTCACATTTGATACTGAATAGTTTTTTAAGAATTTTTTTGCAGTCACATGGCACATTTTATCTTAATATGCATAAGAATGTAAAGTTTAGCATGCATTACTTAAGTGTATGTAATGATATATTTATGAAATTTCCATTACAGTTAGATGTGATTCACTTGAGCAAAGATCCCATACCAGTCACGGGAAATTATGTCAACAGTGATGCTGCAGGGCTACCGACACGACTTAGTGTGGAATATGATGCTCTGGAGAGGTAAGTGCTTTTTATTTCTTTTATAGTTTTTCTTTCATATTTTTGCTATCGTTATGAATCAGATATTTTATTAGCTGCTTTTTAACCCCTTGCATCTGGATGCTTTGCTGCCTTCATGTGCCCCAAAATCTGGATGTTCGGCACACAAGACTCCCAGTTGCAATGCTTTTATTTCTCATTTTTTTGCATAAGCTTCTTTATCTTTTTTTGCCATTTTTTCAAGGCACAGATTTTATATCATCTCTCTAGGTAGTCCATAACTCAATGCAGTGATAATAACTATAAGTAACATTTTGTTATGAGCTGGTGCTTTTAAGTCATGGAAAATGGATGGTATATTCCACACTTGTTTATCAATAGGAATTATACAAGAGCCTAATTACCCTCCAAGAGCTTTGTGCATTTGTGGCAAGTCATTCCCATCACCCCGGCCTTCAGTCAAAATTCTCATGACAACATGTTGTTGTCACCTCAGCTGTTATGCAATTTTTTCCCTGATGGCATATTCATGTCATCTGCCCCTCAAGTCTTTTCATGATGTGAATCATAGGAGTTAAGAATTTCATTTTATTGTAATACAGTTCCCTAATTTATTATTTTTTTCTATGTCTTAATTAGCAACCAGCCAGTACCTCACCTTTCATTCCAAGCTGTTGGGACACTCATCAACACAAACACGGTGGAAGAGTTCCGAAGCTGTGACAAAATGGAGCTCCTGAAGTCAGCTGGAGCTTCTCTCTGGGAGGCCTTGACCTCAGATCTAGCACTGGAGAACCCTTCTCTCTTGGCCTCCTTCCTCATGTTTACTTTTGCTGTGAGTGGGATCCACAGGGTCTGAATTTTTATCACTAAATTTGTTGAGAGAGCTTAGGCCATGCAGGTGAAAATTATTGTTTTAAGTTTAGATTTTGATTAGATTAGTAAAAAATATTTACAGGGAAAATTGATTTCTTTGCAAGTACATTGTGTAGAAATGTGTATTAATATATCTTCTATTAGAAAGATAGGGATAAACATTTTAAACAAATTATTGCAATTTTTGTCATTTATTCTCTAATTTTTTCAGGACCTGAAAAAATATCATTACTATTACTGGTTTGCATTCCCAGCCTTCACACTTCCAAAGACTGTTCCACTAGTCCAACAGCCCCAGCCCATTACGTCACAGCTCACTGAAGACGAGGTTAGATGTAGTGGATATCTTTTGGTGTGTTTTTTCTTTCATTTTTGGTTTCCAGCTTCTTTAATATCTTTTCTTCTATGTATTTCTAGCTTTCTTCTCTTTTCTTTCTCCTATTCTATGAAGAAAAAGGTTTTTGTTGATTTATAGTATAGCTAGTTTTATTTTATTTGGTCAAGTTTATTGGGGATTGATGTTCTTTTATAACCACCAAGCATGCCTTTTCCTCTTCCTGTCTTTTATTCTTATTCTTTTTCTTTCTTCTTGCTCATTTTCATCTCTTTTCTTTTCTTTTCTTTCTTCTCTTGTCTTTTTTCTTTTCTCATTTTCTTTTTCTTTTTCTTTTCCTTTTCCTTCTCCTTCTCGTCTGTTCTTGTCTGTTCTTTTTTTTTTCATTTTCTTTTTCTTTTCCTTTTCCTTTTCCTTTTCCTGTTCCTTTTCCTGTTCCTTTTCCTGTTCCTTTTCCTTTACCTCTTTTATTCTTATTCTTATTCTTTTTTGTATTCTTATTCTTATTTACATTCTTATTCTCAATCTTATTCTTATTTTTATTCTTATTCTCCTCCTTCTATGTATGAGTGTGTGTGTGCATATGTAGGGAAGTGTTTTTTCATAGTTATATCAGGTATATAATATTATATAGAATCATAATACATATGATAGTAAGAACCGTATTCATGTTGACACATATAGAAAAGGTATGAATGAGAATGAATATCTTCACAATACAAGAGATGTATTTGATCGGTTTCGATTGTATTTCTGACGAAGATATAATCAAAACCGGTCAAATACATCTCTTGTATTGTGAAGATATTCATTCTCATTCATGCCTATTCTACATATGACAGTACAATGTAAGGGAAATATCATCTACTATTGGGTTAAGTTTAATGTCATTACAGATTGCTTCACTGCTGGCAGCATACAGTGCCAGAGAGACTGATAAGAGCTCTGGATTTTTCACCATAAGGAAAAGGAGCAAAGATTGGACTATCCATCCACTGAAGGAGTACCCAGTTCTACGAGCTGCAGCATCTGTAAGAAATCTCTTTTCAGTTTGTTATTTTTGTGTGCGTGCGTGCGTGCGTGCATATGCGCCTACATACATTCAGTGATCAGACTGTATAGTACACACAGACACACATATACATATATATATACATATATATATATATATATACATATATATATATATACATACATACATATACATACAAACATGCATACATGCATACATACATATATACATATATACATATAAATATAATTTCCCATCAAAATTCATGATATCTGCTGAATGCTGTGAGCAGGTGCATTGTCATGGAGGAAGAGAATATATTGATGCAGCTTTTCGTAAAGTAAAAATGGATAAGTATGTGGTTAGCCAGAAGTATTTTCTTTACCTGAAAAGATTTTATTGGATAAGATTAATTAATCCATAAAATTCTATTTGTTCTAGCTGTTTCCTATATGGTCAGTCCTATTCACCACAAAACTAGTAGGCTATTTTCCTTATCATATATAGTGATCATTAATATATCTAGTACTGTTAAGAAGCTTCCTCCAGCTGCACAAAATAAACTTTCTGAAAAGTCAACTACCTTTTTGTACAGTAGGTGTTCCAGAATGTCAGTTGCTTTTTAACCCATTAATATAAAATCTAATGGCTGGAATGAAACAAGTTGCTAAAATTCCTACCCCCTTGCACACACATAGACATGGACACAAATACATCTAGTTTACTGTGTATTTCACATATGCTTGTTTTCAGTTTACACCTTGTACTAGAATAATATATTACTAGTTATATATATGTATTTTTCATAATTAGTATCATTTTGTGATAATACATGAAAAATCACAAAGCTATATCAGAAAATTAAATGTTGTGTAGCCTTTGGGCAAGGGCAGCAGCAGACTAATTAACTACATACCTGTCATGCGCAGACACATACTTCATACATACTTCACACATGTATGGTACATCATTTATGTCTAGAATCACAAAAGATTGCTCTGTTTTGTAGGTAAAAGAATAATTTGACAGCGCTACAGTAGCTTTTGTAAAACTAAAAAGCATTGGAAACATTTTTCTTTTTTTCATATTACTCTCTGTACCAGAATGATACTCTGATAACTGTATGGGTAATTTTCTCATGATGTGTAATATCTTTTAAGAACACAATTCAAAAACAGATATGATGTTTTCAAAAAATGCACAGCTATACAGAAAACTATCGTTAGAAAATAATGCAAAATATTCTGAAACAAGCAACGATACTTTTGGAATATAGTTCTTAATACTAGGAAACTGTTGCTCATTTTCTCACTTTTGGATTTTTTTGTGTGGCATATCATGAATGAAAAGGCTGTAAATTTACAAGTAATTTATTACATGTTATAATACTTTGTCACTAATTAAATAGCTTTTTTATATATTTTTTTAATGTTGGGTCAATCGTCATGATATGGGAGAAGACAAGTGCTAGGCATTACCAGACAATTGAGATAACAGGTGCTACTCACACGCATTATTGCTATTATATTACTTATTGACAAATAAGATCAAAATAAGGTAAAAAGTACTGGTAATATATTTGTTTAATATTTGGTACTTCCACCCCCTGTTACCAAACCACAGTTAAGGTGCCGGGGTTGAGATGCCACTATGTCAGCTGTCAAGGCACGGACTTTCTCACATCATAGGCATTCTCATGTTTGCAAGGCATTATTTATGACTGCCACACGGTTGCGAGTGTGGTCTTGCCGCATATATTTTGACATGGCCGCCCACATGTTTTTAACAGGGTTTAGATCTGGAGGTCTGGGTGGATATGGCAGTAGCAGCATGATGCTGGAGTGTTCACAGAACCAATCCTTGACAACACGGATGGTATGGATTGAGCTGTTATCCTGAACACTGTCTTAGATTCACAAATATACATATAGAAAAATGTTTTAGCATTCAATTCTTTTGCAACAAAATTTTTTCTTTAATATATCGAGTGAAGGGAAGTTGAAAATAAGTGGGGAGGGGGTGGTGTTGTGACCTACCCTGGTGTTTTGTCAATACCATACATATCTGGCAGTGCTGGTGCCTTTGGAAAAAAAGTTTTCTCGTCACAGAAGATTACCTTCTCCCAGAAGACCTGTGGCTTGTCTGCATACTGCGAGGCATATTCCAACCTCCTCTTCATATTTTGTGGGATCAACTCGAGCTTGTGTTTGGGTGCGCGAGTGTGTAGATCCATTCCTAAGTGTCCTGCATGGATCATCTCTAAGCAACAGGACACCCCCACATTATCATGGATATCACCTGCCTAGAAAAATGAGTCTGTCTCAACCATAGATACAAATGCCTGGTAGAAAAGTAAAGGGCAAAATTAATCAAATACCATCTTTCCTACCACTCCTCACTAAATGTGGCAACCCCGAGCTCATATACATTTGCCAACAAGATTAGAGTTACTGCTTTGTTATGTTAGGCTAATAATGATAATTAATTGCTGTTTTCAGATATAATATAGAGTAATATGATTATGTATAGTAAGTGCTCATCAGTAAAGTAAGGGCCTGACCATATTATGCCTATTAGGTCTTCAGTTGTGTATTTGAAATGGACAGACAGAGGGTTGTTTGTTACATATGTAAGCTGATGCTGACTTATCCGCCTAGTCACCGTCATCATCGAGATTCCGAGTCATTGTGTGATATCTGCGTTTGTTAAACCTTCAGTGTGAAGGGAAACAAGTGCGCATTTCTTTTGATGTCTGCATTGTGAAAAAGATTATCATGTCACTTTGAATCCATATGAACCCAGAAATGAATATTTGATACATTATGAATCAAAATGAGACAAATTTATTCCCAAAAATAACAACCCTTTCATAATATATGGTTCCTTTTGTTATTAAATGTTTCAGTACCCCTCCTAATAATAGTTTTCTGTGTAGCTGTACATCTCACAAATAAAAGTTAGCATTGTTACATATGCATTATTTTTTGACAGGAAATGACTTCACCACTACCAACTTCACAATAGACTTGTACATACTAAAAACCTCCATTATCATATGATGAATATTTGAGCAAAATATTACAATAAACACTAGTCCTTATATCAATGAGTAAACTAATTGAACAGCAACCAGATAAAAGTGGTAGAAATGGAGAGGTTTGGAGGTTTAACAGCCAACTTTAATTTTAGTGTCCCATGTTAGTCAGTTGTAGCCTTCTGCAGGTGTACTTGAGGAACCAATCTCAGCCATAGGATTTTTATATAATCTTATTAATAATTTTAATATTTTATATATATATTTATCACAGCATAATTTAATTGTAATGGTAAACTGTCATTTAAATGATAGATTTTATGTGTGTTTAATTTTTTTCCTCTTTTCCCTTGATGCAATTCAGACTGATGCAGAAGTGTTCCTGGGATTTTGTGATCCATGCACCCTGCCTCAGAATCCTGGATGGCCCTTGCGAAATCTTCTCACACTGGTTTTACTGAAATGGTACATTTCTAGATGTTGTTTATATTTGTTAAAAAAGGTGTATATAAAGGGGGAGGGATGGAATAAATGTTGTAGTAGTTCAGGTTTAGATCCCATACTACATGTAAAAGAAAGAGAAAAAAAATCCTTAAGGAGAGAAAATTAAAGAAAAATGAATTTCCTCACCAATTCAAGGTCAAAACAGTGGCCCGTCAACAAGATCCTGTGCTTAAGAATAAGAACAAGAAGTGGAGTTCAAGATGCTAGTCACAGTATATTCATTGAGGTTGACTTGGGAGGCATTCTGGATCAGAGCAGTAATCTTGAGATGCCTTCATGTCTCGGATGGGAAAAGAACGAAAGAGGAAAAATGGGTCCTCGCATGGTCAACCTTTCTTCCACAATGGATCCTACAAGGTGACAAGGCCAGGGGTTATGCATTTTGTGGTTGTTTATTTGCCAGAATTTCATATTGATATGTGTGTTTTTTATAGTCTTCAGTCTTTAGGTTGTATTTAATATAGACACATATATTTTTGAGAATGTGTTTTGTTTTCCAGATTAGCTGAATCAGCAGTAGACTTGAACCTAAAGTTGATGAGGTGGAGAGTAGCCCCACAACTCAATCTTCCAGTTATACAAGGCACTCGCTGTTTACTCTTGGGAGCAGGTACTCTTGGCTGTGGCGTTGCACGTTGCCTCTTGGTAAGAAACATGTTTGTAATAGTCTATTTCCTGTTGTAGTATTATTCAGTATGGTATTATTAGTATTTTGCTTTCATTATTGTATGAAGTTTTTCTGATAATTTTGTTTTTTTAAGACTGGCGTACTGAAACTAGTGAGAATTAGCATGATACTATACATAAAATAGTAAAATCATATTGTTATTATATTCTTGTAATTACTTTCAAAATGTCCTAATTTACAGGGTTGGGGTATTCGCAACATAACTTTCGTAGACAGTGGGAAGGTGTCCTTTAGCAATCCCGTCCGCCAGAGTCTGTTTGTCTTTGACTCCTGTTTGAATGGAGGAGAGACCAAAGCTACAGCAGCTGCCAAAGCCCTAAAGGACATTTTCCCAAGAGTTGTGAGTTTCTTTTCCTGTGTTCCATATGAGTATTCTTCATGTAATATTCCCCAGACTATCACTTTGTGGGAAGTGAAATAGAGCATATTTACTGATGTTATTTATTTATAAGGTTAAGGACTAATAAGGTTTTTTATTTATTTATTTATTTTTTTTTTTCATTATATTTCTATTAGTATCATGAGTTATATGGTTTTACTTTTTTATCTTTTATTTACTCTTTCAGAATTCCAATGGCATAGTACTGAACATTCCAATGCCTGGACACACTGTCAGTGATAGTCTGATAGATCAAGTCAGAAAAGATGTGGAAACATTAGAACAACTTGTAGAAGAACATGATGCCATCTTTCTTCTTATGGACTCGAGGGAAAGCAGATGGCTTCCTTCCATGCTGGGCTCAGCAAAGAGCAAGGTCTGTGCTGCAGGAGTTGTTCACTTTATTTTGTGTACTGGAATTTTTTTTTGCATTTTCCCACATAGAGGAGTTGAGTCCCACACAGATGGTTGAGGTGGAGACATTTATTTTATATATTTTGTTAGATTTACAGTAGCATCCACATACTGCTTTATCATTTCGAGATTTGATCTTTTCCTTCACTGATGCTACTGCCTGCATTTGAAGTCATTTTCACACCTCTCATTTTGCAGCTGGTCTTCACTGCAGCACTTGGCTTTGACTCTTACTTGGTCATGCGTCATGGATTCCGACAAAGTGCAGATGGAGCTGACGCTGCCTCTTGTAGCACCTCTGACCAACAGGGTGCAACGGCAGGTGCTGTTCCTGGAGCCCCCATTCCTGGGAACCTATTAGGATGCTACTTCTGCAATGATGTTGTTGCACCTGGAGATGTGCGTTAGAACTTTGGTTATTGTATTCTGATAAACTATAACTTTGTTGCTGATATCATTGAAGCCATATGAGGCATTTTCATTGTTATCTAGATCTTTTCATTATCTAGTTGTTTGCATTATTTTTACCATGGATTTTATTTTTATTCCAATCTGTATCATTGTCTATGTAATTAATTCTATCACCATTACTGATACCATTAATCACATACAGTCTGACTTTAAAGATAAGAAGGTGTTGCAGTCAAAACACCAAAGATTAAAAATACATAGGTTGTATTTGTGTAAATTTTGTTTCTTAATTATTATATTTTTTATTCATTAGTTTATAATAACTAATCTTTACTAGAAGCCCCATTTTATCTACATATACATTCTAAATGTATATGTAGATGAAACACATTTATCTTCAAGTTTTGCCATTTTATTTTAAATATAATGCTGAGGTGCATTCACCTTAAAGTAGACTACTAGCCAAAACTATGTATTTAAAACATATATATAGAATCATAGAATATTGCATCAAACTGATTATATCATAATTTTTCACAACCTATATCTCCATTTCAGTCTTAACTAAGAAATCGTTTTTTTATTCAAGAAGAAAAAAATTGAAAATATAGTCAGTTGTTGTTGGGCATAGACATTAGCTGCAAGTTGGTATGTTCTATATATTGCAAAATGTTTTAAGCCATTGATGCCAGGATAGCTTGTGTATCAGCCATGGCCACTTTGATTTTAGTTTATTGATTTTCCTTAAACCTAGGTGGCTCCACAAGCGCTTACTCAACAAGAAGTCAATTACTAAACCTACCTGATCTCACCTGTTTACCCTTTTCCTTGATTAAAAAAAAGAATGATTTTTTTATTTACCGTGGCTATTAGTATTTCTAATAGCATGATAATGTCAGTGATTATTTAAATAAAAGTAATGATATGAACATCATTAGAAAAATAGATTTGCTTGTGGAGCTGTCTGTGCATAAACAGAATTCACAAAACAAAACAGTGGACAGTGCAGTTACCCAGCATCAGTGTGTTAAAATCCATGTCATGAAATTGGAATCTTTACAGTCTAATTTACAGCCTTCCTTTCCCAACTTCTTTCCTCTAGTCAACACGAGATCGTACCTTAGATCAGCAGTGCACTGTCACTCGTCCAGGTGTGTCTTACCTGGCTGCTGCCCATGTTACTGAACTAATGGTGTCAATTTTGCAACATCCAGACAGGTGAGCATTACTTTTGGGTTCAGAATGGTTCTTAATATGCAGTTAGAGGCAGTTATTAATCTATGTAACTGTCTGTACAATGATCAATGTCAGGGATTCTTGTGTGTGGTTTCCTTTAGTTTCTCAAGCTGCTTGATGAGAAATGAGCCAGGCACAGGCTGTGTGATAAGCTACTATACAAGAGTCTGTGATATAAATAAACTATAGTTTTGTATACTATATAAAAGATATTATATATGGTATGAATAAGGAAAAAGTTAATAGATAAAGAATTCACAAAGAAGTAAATCAAGTTTGATCAAAACATTGTTTGAGCACATTCTTCATTATGACTAATACTAAATAGGCGGAAGAGAATTTTAGAACAGACCTCTCAAAGAACTGCTTGGCATTCAACAGAGGATTAGCAGAGGCAGGTATCAGCAGTCAGCAGGATGTGAAGGAAGGTGTATTGGGACCAGTGCCTCACTCTTTGCGTGGATTTTTGGGACAACACCAACAACTTACTCCTGCAACAGCTGCATTCAAACAGTGTCCAGCATGTTCTGACAAGGTTGGACTTTTGTGATTAATATTAAGACAACTCAGTCTCTCTGTCTGAATATATATTGACTTTTCATGGATGAGAGGTACTTAACCCATTGACTTGCCTTGCTTTGGCACTTGG